GGGATAGATATATACAAATTGTTTAATGTTGAGGATGTCACTTTTGAAGAAATCTATACATAATTTGATTCATATATTTATATATTCATTGCTAAAATATATTTAGATATGAGGGTTATTCTCATCCATTAGCTTGCATCTATTATTTCTGTCCAGACTCCTTTAACACCCTGACTATAGATACTTCAGAGCTCTGCAAATGAGGGGTTTCCTATCTAATATCAAGGAACTATCAAACTTTTACAGTTATGAGAGCCATCCAGAAATGAATGAGAGTTGCTTACCGTTATTACGTAAAAACTACAAGTGTTACAAAATCTCTTCATAGTACCTCAATATAATCTCCTGTGGATGCTATGGTTGACTCCTATCTTCCGATTCTTATTTAAATGACTTGTGCGATTACGTGCATAGTTAATTACATTACATGTCAAGTTTTGTGGCTTTATGTTTTTTTCAATCAAAAGTTGCAAACTAACTCTCATTTGTTTACTGATAACCCTCGTACAACTTTGTACCATATACATTGTGACAAGTGCATCACATTTCCACTATTGTGAATGGTTACTGCAGTGCACTATAGAGTAATAATGGCAAACATTTGTTTGCACCTCAGGATTTGCCATGAGTATAGTTCTAGACAGGTCTGCACATCCATACAGTCAGAGCTAACTCTATACTGTTGGTAACTCATTATATAAAATTTCAAATTGAAATCCCTTGAACTTTTAATGGACTGTTCCAAATTTTAAGCAGGGTAAATCCATTATATAAGTTCAGCATAATTCAAATAAGTTTAAATATCATGACATCTTGCTGTGAGCTTTCTGGTTAGCTCTGTAGGTAGAGCGTTGGAATGTGAATCAGGCGACCTGGGTTAGGTTCCCGGATGGTGCAGGTCACTTTTGTTGTAATTGATCATGAAGTCCTTTCTACGGTCATTCGCACTGAACCTCTGCTCTGGCATGTACAGAAGTTACATGTCCTTGCTAAAGTGAAGGTAAACTGCTTGACAGTCTGCACAGGAACATGGTAAATTCAGTGTTGCTTATGCCGTGATTCAGTGTGAAAATTACCAATACCACCACTACATCTTGCTGCTGGAGTATATTTTTAAGCTTTTCCTCTTTTATAATTTCAGAGTCAAAAGTAGAAGATTATGAAGCGAGTGCAGATCTAAGGTTAGTGGAGATACTCATTTAGCTATTCATTACTATTCATGAGGGAAGAGTGAATAGTTATGTTCTGTATGTAAATGACCACTTTTTAAGCAACAAGATTGAACGGTTTTGTTATGATAAGATCTTCGAACCTTTAATTCCACAGTAATATAATATTACCATGATTATACTCTGAAATGCAGATCAAGTATTGTGCATGTTATTTTATCCTTCCTATTAAATAAGGTCATTTGCTTTTTGGGAGATATGATTTGGCGTTAAACTGTTTATGAACAAAGTTGATTCAACATTTTAGGACTAAAATAATTATGTAAAAATATTTAGAAATGAGCTTGAAATGGTCATATATGTTTTTCTAGTGTTACTGGGCACTGACATTCTATATAACCATATTTTAGTGATATCATTTACTGTACATGAAAGGAGAGTGGTGGCCTAGTGGTTAAGGTGTCTGTCTCTCAACCCAGGGATCATGGGTTCGAGCTCTACTAGGGTCACAATTATGATTCCTCTATGACACCAGTACTGGTTAGTTTTAGGAAGCGGACTTTAAAAAGTGATAGAACTTGTTTTAGCAATCTAAAAAGAATATGTTTAAACTAAACTGTAAATTTATTGTAGATTATATGTATTTTAGGCTGTTGACATTTCTGTACGGATCAATGATAGATGCTGTACTCACTGGAATTCAAGCTTACTGAACTCATTGAGTGTTAAACAGGTAAAATAAATGATTAAATAAATGCTGTTTTGACAGTTTATGTAAAAAAGGCAGTCAGAAATTTTCAAATTTAACCAATATCATTAGACGCAAATGTAGAACAAAGATTAATGATGTTTAGTGTTACAATGCCTACACAAACAATGTTGTCCAGATACCTAGCCCAATTGGTTAAATACAAGCATGTTAGAAAAATGTGCAGCCTGACTGGATCTCGAACCCTGGACCCCGCATAATACAGTTCCTGGGCTATACCAATTGAGCTATCTCACCTCTTACATATTTTCACCCCTAATTAGTGAACAGTTCTTTATGGTGATATTTTATACAGTCGACATTGTATTAAGAGACCACTCAAGGGACTGCCAATGTGGTCTCTTAATAAAGTGGTCTCTCAATAGAATTCTGGAAAATTCGAGACTTTTTTATATTACAAGTCATAGATATAATAACATCTTTTTATAATAACAAAAACTGTACAATATCATGTATGTATGGAACAGAATTAATGCATTTATTCCACCTTGCTTTATGATATCGGAACTTACATTATGCTTGCTTCTATACTTCTTTATGACAATGAAAACCTGCGTTTTGCTGAATTCAATCATGCCTTATGATTACTGAATGCACTTTCATGTAATTGCAACCTTGTGTGTTCCCTACTAAACCATCAAACTCACATATTTTAATATGCTATATGTTTAATTGCATCTTTTTTTTTAAGGACAACGTATTATGTTTGGTGTTTAAGATAACATTCTTTATAACTATATGTACATGGTAGTTGTATCTTTAATTTGCTATAAATCTGCCACTTATATTGTCGACATTATGTCAAATTAAACTATTCATTTTGATCAATAATTGGCTGATTTGATGTGTCTTAGCATTCATATGCTTCAATATATTCACTGATTACAAATATAATGCAATACATGATCACTGCGCATCGACAACGAAGATGACAACGATAGCGATATTATAGTCGCATGTGACAGTACGCACTAAGCAGTTGGCAGTAAGCATAATGCGAGTTGCAATAATTTGTGTTCATATTATGACAGCAGGTGTCGCTTTGTCGGTACATCCCGTTATTTTCCGGATGATCCCGTATTTTGGCACGTGGAGTAAACAAAGTTACGTCCACTTTATATAGGGGCGTATACAGAACAGTGTTAGTTGGGGACTGACATGTAAATTTACTAAAAAACAAGAGAAAACGATGCGACAGACGAAAAGTGCGTGTTTTTGAAGATTCCGCGCAGCATGTGGAAAAAAGTTATACATGTCTCTAATAACTCATCCTACAAGTGTCAACTCACCTCTTATACAATTGTTTACACTTCTTTTTGAGCGTGTGTGATAAGTGAAATTGAATTTTATCAAACTTAAGGTGGCACGAAGTTGACATGTGTGTGTTTTTATTTATCTCGTGCGCACGAGATACTGTGTCGTGGCCACGGGTTACTAAGTCGTGGCCACGAGATAGTTAAAGTCGTGGGAACGAGATACTATGTTGTGGCCACGAGTTACTAAATCGTGGCCACGAGGTAATTAAGTCGTGGGAACGAGATAACTAAGTCGTGGCCACGAGTTACTAAGTCGTGGCCATGAGATAAATAAGTCGTTGGAACAAGTTACCATGTCGTGACCACAAGAAAGTTTAGTCGTGGCCACGAAAAAGTTACATGTAAGTCGTGCGAACGAGATAAATAACCAATCAAATTACACTATTTATATGAATTTTCCTAACAAGGATGCCCCTACTTCACTTGTCCGTAAAAGTGCCATTTATACAAGTTATTGATTGGTCAAAGATTTAGCGTCATTGTGACCCTGATTTCTGACCAAATTGCCTAAAAATTATTAGGTGTCATCTACTGATCTTTTAAGGTTATATAAACTACGGCTTATTCTTTCTAAATCATTCATCAGACAAGGATTTTGCATGAAGTGTCATGTTTATCTGACCTGTGACCTCAAACATCCTTATAGGATATCTACTGTCCATGGGCAATGTCCCTTCCCAATAAAATAAACCAGGACTAAGTCCCTCTCAAGTTATGGTATAAACAATGTTAACAGGCCTTTGTACGTACAAAATGACCAATTCTATCATAGAATAGTCCCAACAAAGGGCTATAACTAAAGAGATAAATAAAAACACACACATGTCACTTAGTAACTCGTGGCCACGACTTAGTACAGTACAAACTTGATTTTTTTTTTGTAAAATAAATATAATTTGGCTTCACACAAACATTGTGATTTAAATACTTTACACTGTAATTGGGCAGTATGAATATTCATGTATAGAGTTATTACAAAAATATATATGGAAGTTTCTTTTAAAGACAGGCACAACTTTACTTGACCCGTAATAAGGAAAGCAGATTCCTATACATTATGTGTATGTGTTTTTATTTAGATAAAACATATTTAGTAAGAATTTTATAGATTTCAATAAATTTCTGTGATAAAAATATATTACTGAAAGATGTGCATAGTATATCTTTAAGCACAAATGTATGTAAATGTGGTGGTGTGTGCGGGATGTCTGATCTATAATCAGACAAACATATGCCTAACATTTGTAATTGACTATGCACATGTCACAAAAATAAACAACTTCCTTCTTTCCTTATTATACATGTATATTTTAATGTGTTAAATACCTATTCGCCACTATTAGTGACTGAGACAGTTATTAAGTTAAAAGGCCAATTAATAAGTTTTGCTTTTCAATGTCCAAGTCATTAGATAAAGACCTTCGCAATCGTAGGCAGGTGCTTAACAACTGGATGACAGCATTATATGTTTTGATAAGGGAGTACACTATGACCACTATTGCATGAAACTTACACGTATATATTCCATCCCAGCTCATCAACGTTTCTTTGGGGTAGGTGCAGCCCTTAAGCCAAGGCCTGAATCCACCACTGTACGTATAACTGCCCCATTGAATAACTGTTTACAAGCATATTTTTTCTATTAGACTGTATACATATACATGTATAAAATTATATTGCATAATCCTTACTACTTGTATTTATATTCTTTCCACTGCAATTTATGTATTAAGCGCTTGGTACGTATTTATAGCATTGTCGCCCTCTGCATTTTAACGTATAACCACGATGGCCCTAACGGTATTCCGTAATACATGTATTTACATGTACGGAAAATTCCGATGATAGGCGAATCATGGAAAAAATCCGTTGATATCGATAACAGAGTTCTCGCCCCTTAACAGTTCACAAATCGCTAGACATTGTTTAAATTGTTTATCATAATGTAAGATGATCAAACATAATCCACAAAGCCTCAGACACCGAGCTTTATTAAGCATAAACACTGAATAACGGATATAAGCGAAAGCTAATACTAATCACGCCATGCGAGCTGTAAATCAAATAAGTCCCCTTTTAACAAAATCCATCAGGGAACAAAAAATAGTCAATTTTAAATGACTTCTACATAAAAGTAATACAAAAAAAAACTAAACCGTAAATGGTTTGTATAGAGCATGAAGAAAGGTAGCTTATACATAAAGGTATAAGACGTTAACATTTTAGTATTCCAAATGGCTTGTTTCAGTTTAATAGTTATCACTCAATGAAAGAATTGGTCACTACGAAATGTTTGAATGAAATAATGAAAAATGGAATCCAGAATAATGCAACGTTTAAATATCATAAAGCAAGATGGAATCAATCATAATGCAAGTTCTAATGTCATGTAGCAAGATGGAATTAAGCATAATGCAAGTTCCAATGTCATCAAGCAAGATGGAATCAAGCATAATGCAAGTTCCAATGTCATCAAGCAAGATGGAATTAAGCATAATGCAAGTTCCAATGTCATCAAGCAAGATAGAATAAATGCATTAATTCTGTTCCATATGTATGTATTACAGTTTCATAATTACATTTATGTCTTTTTTTTAAAAAAAGTCATCAATATGTGTTTGTTTTTGTTTTTAGTAGAAATTTGTGTACAAATGTGATCTACACTCATAATACTATCAACAGGTCATTTTGACCATGAAACAAAGCATATTGTCTTATATTGTTAATATGTTCATACACATCTCCTGCTGAACATATTTTTAAATCATCGCCAGAGCTCCAGATAATTTTTCATGCAATTAGTTTTAAACTTCTTGATTTTTTCAGCAATTAGTTTTTACACTACTGATTTCAAATTCAATAAGGTTTTTAGAGATCTAGGATTTTTTTTCTTTTTTTGTCGAAGGGTCATATTTAATGGGGTACTACATGTATTTCATAAAGCATCAGATGAGCACCTACACCATCAGCAATGAAAGGCTCGGTTCTGTAATGTTTAGTCCACTACGTTTCACGATTTTATTTCGACTACAAACAATGACATTTGCTATTTACTCAGACTCAATTCCATGCACAATTTCCTTGTTCAATATATCTGGTCTTATTAGTTGTCTGTCATTTTTTCGCTCGTTCCGACATCATTTTCGATTTGATTTTCTGGAAGGGAGGTAAGTAAGTAAGTAAGTAAGTAAGTAAGTAAGTAAGTAAGTAAAGTCTTTATTTAATGAGGCTACACATTTGGTTTCCCAATCTTCCATGTGGGCCTCAAAAACATAAATATACATAAAATATACATAATTTACATCATGGTTATACAGTGAAGTTTTCAAAATACATATACACATGAAAACACAAAATATAATAATATATTACTTTATGAAACAATAAATAATTAAAAACACAATAGATATTCAAAATACATGTACAATGCATGAACATACATTACTTTACACTAAATCTATGTAAGATCAAGGTACTTGAGAGAGATTCCAACTGATATAGGATGCTTGAAATTTTCCAACAGTTTCAGATTTACATACGGAGAGAGGGATATTATTCCATAGTTTGGGGCCCGAGTAAGTCAGAGATTTTCTAAAAATTTCTTTTTTTGGTTTAGGTATAAATAAATCTGAATTTTTTGCTGACCTGAGGTTACGTTCATGTTTTTGGTGAATAAATTGAAATTTGTTTTTCATGTACTTTGGAAATGAAGCATTGTTTAATGATTTATACATAATGACAGCTTTCTTGTATCTTATTCTTTCATCAAATTTTATCCAATTTAATTCATTAAATAATTCAGTAGATGGGGCATCATAACTTTTGTCAAGAATGATTCTTGCAGCTCTTTTCTGAAATTTTATTATATCCATAACTTGTTCATTGCTACAGTTTCCCCAGACTGTACAACAATAATCTAAATGTGGTAAGATATAAGCATTAAAGAACAGTTTTCTTGTATTTACATCAAGGTACTGTTTTATTCTTAGAAGAAGGTACAACTGAGTATTGCATTTCTTTAACGTCTTATCTACTTGGGTTTTCCACTTAAGGTTATTGTCAATATGAACACCTAATAACTTTTCAGTTTCAGTAAATTCAATTTCATGTTCTTGCAGGTGTAGTGGTTGTAATTGTTGTTTATTATTATTGGATGACAGGTTCATTGCTTTTGTTTTCTTTGCGTTTAGCATCATTGCATTCTGTTTGCACCACAGATTTACATTGTCAAGGTCAGCTTGGAGTTTATCATGTAAATCTTGTATAGAGAGACCTGCTGCTGTAAGAGTAGTGTCATCAGCAAAAAGATCTGCCTCTGAGGTTTTCAAATGGAGTGGTAGATCATTTATATATATGATGAAAAGCAAAGGTCCAAGGACAGATCCTTGAGGTACCCCTGATATAACTGATGCTGATTTTGATAGGTTGCCAGATACACTGACCTTCTGTGATCTATTTTCAAGATATGATGTAAACCAAGTAATTGCAGAAGAAGAAATTTGATAAAAATGAAGTTTTTGGATGAGTAACTTATGATTTACAAGGTCAAATGCCTTTGACAAGTCAAGAAAGATTGTGCCAACTAGCTTTCCATCATTTATTGCCTTGATCCAATTGTCAACAACATTTGTCAATGCAGCCACTTTCACATGAATGTTTTGTTCTAAATCCTGATTGGGTGTTGAAAATGAAATTATACAATTCTAAGAATTGTTTTAAATGATCAGATACATGTTTTTCAAATATTTTAGAAAGTATTGGAAGAACAGATATAGGTCTATAATTATTTTTATCTGATTTGTGTCCTTTTTTGTAAAATGGTGTGACTTTAGACTGTTTAAATTTTTCAGGAAACTTACCTGTTTTGATACTCAAATTGATAATAGTAGAAATTGGTCTACATATAACAGGGGATGCAGTTTTTAAAAATTTAGCACTAATGCCATCAAGTCCAGTAGCCTTTGTAACATCTAGTGAATCTAATGCTTGTTTGACTTGGCTTGGATCTATAGGTGGAATATCAAATTTTGGTGTATTTTGGTCAATTTTGCTGTTTAACATTTCTTTGAGTATATATTCATTTGTACTGGTTAGTGTTGTAATATTTTCTGTATTTTTGAATAAATTTGAAAAAAATGTATTAAATATTTCTGCTGTCTGTTTAGGGTCATAGACTGGAATTCCATTGTCATCATTAATGTAACTAGTTTGGTGGTTTTCGGCTTTTCCACTCAAGTCTTTTAGATTTTTCCAAAGCTTTTTAGGGTTTTTGTTGTTTGAAGATATCTCCTGATTAAAGAATTCTTTTTTTGATCTGTGAGAAAGCACCTTGACTTGCGATCTCCAGTATTTGTATTCCTCAATGTTATTTTTCTTTTTTGCAAAATCTCGTTCCTTTATTGCATTAGCTATATCATCTGTGAACCAATCATTTTGATTTTTTCGTTTAACCCTTTTTTGTTTATATGGAGCATGAGAATCTAAAACTTTTAGAAATAAATCATAGAAGGTGTCGAGGGCATCATCAGGTTCTGTAAACACATCAATTAATGACCATGGTTGATTTGATAAGTCTACTAAAAAGTTTTCTGCATTGAATTTCTTTAAATACCTGTAGTTTATAGTTACATGCAATGGACCTTTTTTTATTTTTGCATTAGTTTTCCTTGTAAAACAAATAGGGTAGTGGTCACTAATAGACATCACTGGAACAGCTGTGTAGCTTATATTCTGTGGATGATTGGTGTATATGTGGTCTATAATGGAAGAGGAATTTTGTGTGACTCTTGTAGGTTGTGTTATCAGTTGATGTAAGTTGAAAGTATTAATTATTTTTTTCCATTTAGAATTTGCTGGGCTTAAATTTATAAAATTGTAGTTAAAGTCTCCTAATAGAATGATTTCTTTGTTTTCGACATAAAGTGTATCTAAAATATTTTCAATCTGATCATTCCAGTGATGAAGGGGGCCTATAAATATATCCTACAATAAAGGGTTTTTGTTTTTCAAGCTTCATTTCTAACCGTATAGCCTCAATATTACTAGAATCAAGATCAGTTCTTAGTTCACATGGTAGGTTTGACTTTACATATAAAGCTATTCCACCCCCATTAGGTCACTCTGAGCACATGACAAAACTGTGCAAATGCGGCGTTGTGATACGTTATTGCTCTGACAAAATATGTCACAATAAATATAAAGATCGGAAAACTGTTTCTTTCTTTCCGATTTTGAAACGATAACAATTGTATTTTTAAAAGACAATTATTTGTGACGGTCGTTTAATAGATACTTTTAGACCAATGACCATGAAAAATATTTGTTTGTTTGCTTGTACACATCAATTCTACTCGCTGATTACACAGGTGAGAATGCTGGTAGTCACGGCCGTTTAATAGATACTTTAACACTTAATTTTGTACATTTGGGCCAACATTTAGTGGCAGCTGGTCGCGATATAAAATCTTTGTTTAATGGAATTAACTTATATAGTAAAAATCATCGGGAGGGATTTTATGCGGCCGCTTAATAAAAAAGTCGCTTAATAAAGGTGGACGCATGTACAATGCCGACTGTATGTTAATTTCAGATAATAATTATAGTTTTATAATGATCAGTGTTATATGTTTTTATTTACAGGCTGAAGACATAGCTACAGAAACATTATATGAGAGTTGTACAGGGGCTAAGGATGATATTGTAACAAATTACGTCAAGACTGGTCCTAGAGTACAATTCTCCTTACAAGCTGTCGACCATTCTGGATGGTAGGTTGAAAACATTTGCAAATATGTGATATCATAACAGGATTTAAGAAAATACTTATATTTATACCCTTATCTTGATTCCCAATATCAGATTATAAAATCCTGATATTTGTCTCTTTGCGATAAAAAATCCAGTTTTGAGCCCCTAAATTTAGCTGGAAATCCAGTTTTAAATATGTATTGGAAAATGAGCATCTATGACTGATTTGCTTAGTTCACTGATTTAAAAAAAAATACTAAATAAATACTGTTTCTTTTATTTGCTTCAACAAACTCGCTTACTTGAAAAAAATTGTTTTGTGTTTTATTTTTCTTGCCATAGAACTTGTTGTTAAACTTTTAAGCTGGAATATTGTATAAGTTGAATGGTGCAAGATTAACTGAGATTATCTTGGTGTAAGCAGATAAGATTTTTTGTACCATGTAGTATCATGACCATTTTATGTTTGATTATAGTTGTTATACCAAATGCAAGTTTGATGGTTCATTGTAGTAAATAACAGCACATGATTATTGTATTGAATTCTTCATGCTGAAGATTTATTTAGATTGAGAATATTTACATATCATAATGATACAGACCCTCCAAACATTTAAAGACAGCTGAATACCTTGATATGTATGAAATTATAAACTTTAAAATAATTGTAATTTCATTATTTAGTTCTCACAGCTTGACAGATGGTAGCCGGAATCTCATGGTAAAATGTGCGTCAATAACATTGTATGATATACCAAGCAAAGAGAAGCCGGGCTCAATCCTGGGCTCACTCGTCTTCTCAGAAACCTTTCTAGATTCTGAGATCAAGGTAGCCACTAAAGGTAAGTGAAGATTCTGATGAAAAATTTTGTATTATGTGTGTTGTCATAAGATTTTGTCTTTTTATGATGATTTTTGTATCCCTGCATCATTATACAAATGTGTATGATTGTGTCCCGATTGGCAGTCTTCAAGTGCACAGTCTGAATCTAGGCAATGATAAATTCATTCTTAAGTTAAAGTGGCAATACATAGATGAAACATATTGCATGATAAGTTTATAAAGGAAAATTTTATTTGGCATTTTTATTTTAAGGTTTTTTTTCAAGCACTGTTTTGATTGAAGTATTTTGTAGAATGTATTCCACATTTGAATGCCTCCCAAATTTTTGTTCATTGAAACATGTAGCTGCTGCTTTGTTCTACCTTCTTTCGGTCCGTATGTCACACCTAAATGTTCAATTTTCATAGTATCTTCATTTAATTTAGATAATGGACAGTATGAGATATGAAAGCTTGACAAGATTGTTTAAAAAAATCAGCAAGTTATGGGTTAAATATCTTGAAGATACAGGGAGATCAGTGAGTATATTGTTGTTTGTTTCAGATGGTAGTGTTGGTATGAACAGTAGTTATCTCCTCCTGACAGATCACATCCCCAGACACCATTGCTGGACTGTGAGTAACTTTCCTTATTATAAAGTAATCTCAGCTTAAATAAGAAATATGAAAGAAAACTTATTATTTGGAGCACATTTTATTGAAGTTAGGAATATTTTGATGTTAGATGTTGATAATGATAAAGCAGTGAAGGTACAGTTGCTCAGTAGATAACATGAGAAATAAAGCGTTTGTCAATCACTTGATACTTGTCAGTTTCCCATGCTGTGACAGTGACTATTACAGGTTGCTTCCCTGTAGTTAATTTTCTGACCATCTGTTTAAGTGACATTTAACAGAGGAGATAACAGCTTCCTGTCTCTTAAACAGTTACTTACTAGTAACTAGAACTAATGACCTTTCTGTAAGTTAGCAGGATACCTTTATCTTATGAGTCCAACCTGCTAGGAGTCAAACCCATTGCAGCTCAAACCCAATGTAGCTAGGTTCAAGTTATTTGAAGCCAGCAATGTTAACCTCTCAGCCACGGAGGCTCCCCATTAAAAAATGATCAGGTTTTCTTTTTTTCCCAAAAATGTATTTATTTAACAATAATAAAAGCTTTTGGATACTACAACTCTCTATGGAGACAATCTCAGTACTGTTGTTTCAGAACCTGTATGTTTTCATGCCTACTACAGTAAATTAATGTAATGTGTTTTTATATTTCAGCATACCAATTTGTTGGAAGACAAAAAATTGTTCCAGGGAAAGTTAGAGAATAAAAGCCTCTCAGAGCACTTTGGTGCTTTATTGTTGTCTGGAGATCCAATCAATGTAGGATGTGCAAGTACCTTATGTATGCCCCCAGAAGAAGGTATGTTCTTTAAATAGTTCTTGATATAACTTTTACCCAGCGAAATTGATGATATAGACCAGTCTTGTTTTGAATTAAGAATGATTCATTGTTGATTTTAGGGTTTTCATGTAATAGTGCTTTTTTAAAGGCCCTTTATGCCTTCGAAATGCTTCTAATTTTTTTTTCTCAAAAGCTTTTAAATTTTGGTGTACTTTTATACTATCTATCTAGCTGTAAAAGGTGGATGATACAACTCAGGTGTCAACCTTAGTCCAAAATCATTCAGGGGAGAGGTAATTGGTCCTAAATCTTCATCATGAAAGACTGACATTAGCCATAAAACATTAGTGAAACAACAAGGACAAAATTTAATAAATGAGCCGTGTCACGACAAAACCAACATAGTGCATTTGCGACCAGCATGGATCCAGACCAGCCTGTGCATCCGCGCAGTCTGATCAGGATCCATGCTGTTCGCTATCAGTTTCTCTACTTGTAATAGGGTTTGTAAGCGAACAGCATGGATCCTGATCAGACTGTGCAGATGCGCAGGCTGGTCTGGATCCATGCTGGTCGCAAACACACTATGTTAGTTTTGTCATGGCGTGGCTCAAATGTCTTTTATTTATTTTTTCAGCTTGTTTGTATGCATTCGAGAATGGGTTGGTGATAGTTTGTGATCAGTATGGTGCCATAGTACTACATGGGAATCACATCAGATCTGCAAGATTCTATGATGGTGTATGTATTCACATAATAATTGTTCTATAAATAGCCTGACCTTCAGGTCTGTATAAACAGTCTTTCAGACATGACCCACTCATTGGTTTAAACATGTTTATTCAACATAACATTTAACATTTGAACAATATTTACAAAATACATTTTGAGATTGGTCAGAAAGCTATAAAACTTATGAGTGTCCTTTTGCTCACCTGTCACAAAGTGACATGGTGAGCTTTTGTGATCGCTTTTTGTCCGGCGTCTGTCCGTAAACTTTTACTTTAAACAACATCTCCTCATAAACCTCTAAACCAATTTCATTCAAACTTAACAGGAATGTTCCTTTGGTAGTCACCTTTAAAACAAATTGTTCTATAAATAACCTTACCTTGGTCTGTATAAACTGTCTTTTAAAATGTTTAAAAGCATAATTGATAGATTAGAAACAATTTTTGAATAGAATTTTGTAATAATTACATTGTTAAGTATTGAATTGGTGATTTTACAATTTTTTTTCAAGATTGATTTACTGTAAAATAAAGTGTTCTAAAAGAGTATTCACTACATTACAGTTACAGTCTATATTTTAGAACTTATTACTTTTATGTTGATGAATACAGATCCTGACTTTGCTATCAAATTGTCATAGTCTGAAATGATAGTTAATGTTTTTAGCTCACCTTGCACAAAGTGCAGGTGAGCTTTTAGGATGGCCAACCAAATGGCGTCCGTCGTCTGTCGTCCGTCCACATTTTAAATATTCTAAGGACATCTTCTATGATACCGCAAGGCCAATGTTAATGAAACTTGGCAGGAATACTCTTTGTATGAAGCTCTATCAAGATTGTTCAAAGAATTCCATTTCATGCAGAACTCTGGTTGCCATGGCAACCGAAAGAAAAATCTTTAAATATCTTCTTTTAAAGAACCGTAAGAGCTAGAGCTTAGATATTTGGCATGAAACATCTTCTAATGAGCGTCTACCAAGTTTGTTCAAATAAAAGCCCTAGGGTCAAAATTGGCCCCGCCCCAGGGGGTCATTGATTTTCCCTATATGCATATAGTAAAAACTTAAAAAATCTTCTTTTAAAGAACCCAAAGAGCTAGAGCTAAGATATTTGGCATGAAACATCTTCTAGTGAGTGTCTACCAAGTTTGTTCAAATAAAAGCCCTGGGGTCAAAATTGGCCCCGCCCCGGGGGGTCATTGATTTTCCCTATATGCATATAGTAAAAACTTAAAAAATCTTCATTTAAAGAACCGTAAGAGCTAGAGCTTAGATATTTTGGCATGAAACATCTTCTAGTGAATGTCTACCAAGTTTGTTCAAATAAAAGCCCTGGCGTCAAAATATGCGCCGCCCCAGGGGGTCATTGATTTTCCCTATATGTATATAGTAAAAACTTAAAAAAATCTTCTTTTAAAGAACCCAAAGAGCTAGAGCTTAGATATTTAGCATGAAACATCTTCTAATGAGTGTCTACCAAGTTTGTTCAAATAAAAGCCCTGAGGTCAAAATTGGCCCTGCCCCAGGGGGTCATAGATTTTCCCTATATGCATATAGTAAAAACTTAAAAAATCTTCTTTTAAAGAACCCAAAGAGCTAGAGCTAAGATATTTGACATGAAATATCTTCTAGTGAGTGTCTACCAAGTTTGTTCAAATAAAAGCCCTGGGGTCAAAATTGGCCCCGCCCCGGGGGGTCATTGATTTTCCCTATATGCATATAGTAAAAACTTAAAAAATCTTCTTTTAAAGAACCGTAAGAGCTAGAGCTTAGATATTTGGCATGAAACATCTTCTAGTGAATGTCTACCAAGTTTGTTCAAATAAAAGCCCTGGGGTCAAAATTGGCCCCGTCCCAGGGGGTCATAGATTTTCCCTATATGCATATAGTAAAAACTTAAAAAAATCTTCTTTTAAAGAACCCAAATAGCTAGAGCTAAGATATTTAGCATGAAACATCTTCTAATGAGTGTCTACCAAGTTTGTTCAAATAAAAGCCCTGGGGTCAAAATTGGCCCCGCCCCAGGGGGTCATTGATTTTCCCTATATGCATATAGTAAAAACTTAAAAAATCTTCTTTTAAAGAACTCAAAGAGCTAGAGCTAAGGTATTTAGCATGAAACATGTTCTAATGGGTGTCTACCAAGTATGTTCAAATAAAAGCCCTGGGGTCAAAACTGGCCCTGCCCCGGGGGTCATTGATTTTCCTTATATGTGTATAGCAAAAACTATAAATCTTCTTTGAAAAACCCAAATAGCCTGAGTTTAGATATTATACATGAAACATCTTTAAGTAAATATCTACAAAGTTTGTTCAAATAAAAGCCCGGGGGTCAAAACTGGCCCTGCCCCAGGGGTGTCATTGTTTTTAACTATATGTGTATAGTAAAAACTTAAAAATCTTCTTTTAAAAAACCCAATGAGCTAGAACTTAGATGTTTAGCATGAAACATCTTCTTATGGGCGTCTACCAAGTCTGTTCAAATAAAAGCCCTTGGGTAAAAATTGGCCCGGGGGGGGGGGGGGGCTATATACAGGTGAGCGACCTCAGGGCCATCATGGCCCTCTTGTTTCTTAATCACCTTAATCACATCTGTGTAGGCTGACATCCAGGTACTTCAAATTTTCACCTTGATTTCCCCAAATTTGATAATAGACAGTACCTTAAATATTGAAAAAGAGCAAGTCCTTGTTAGAAATTAAGCAGTTTTAGGCTTCAGTTCTGCTAGATGTAATGATTTAATGTGAGGAAACTATACAAGTTGCTTGTGGAATGTCAGCAGTCTAGCCAGCTCTGAAATAATGCACTGATAGTTATCCGATCCATCCCGTCAAAAATGCAAACATAAATTAATTTGTCTTAAAATCCAGTCACCTTTATTAAGGAGAATAGTAAAGATATGTTAAATAGAGTAAATGAACATTTTAACCTTTTTTAAAGTACTTGGTAACATATTTATTTTCTAACTCATAAAAACATGTCCCTATTCTGATAAAAACTTGAAATGAACTTATCATTTTTCTTTCAGGACACATCCAACACAGTGGCTGTATTAGTTATAGAATACCATTCAACATTTGTACCATTTATACCATTCCATCTGAGAAATGATGAGGGTCAGTTAATGCTGATGTTCACACCAAAATCAAAAGCATACAAACATCTTTACTCACAGGTATTAATGAATATTTTTATTTCTCACTTTCATTTATTCTAATATGTTAAGGTTTTGTTTGAAGTGTAGAAACCCTATGCTTAAGGGCATAAAAGTACATGCAATACACCTGAATGCTAGTCTAAGTTTAAACATTAGATAAAGGGACAAGTACTTGTACATTAATCATGATAGAAATAATGTCGACTTCTTAGAAGTATAACTGCTATATGAGGAAGATGGTTGTGCCTGTTAATCTTGGATTTACAGACAAACACCTTCTTTTGAAGGAATAGCTATTAAGATATCTTGCATTGTTAAGGTGTCATGTCAATTATATCCAGGTGAAAGTCTAGCCTTAAATTAACATAAAAAGGAGGCACATAGATGTTTGATAAACATACTTTGTAAAGATATACACTTTTGGTAATAATTCCAGCTGAACATAAATTGTAGGCTCAAGTGAAATGGATTTACATTTACTGTCTGTTGATTTGTCTGTCAGTTAATCTATCTGTGTACACAGTCATTTGTTTGATCTAAAAGAAATAAAATGAGCCGCGTCGTGACAAAACCAACATAATGGGTTTGCGACCAGCACGGATCCAGACCAGCCTGCGCATCCGCCCAGTCTGATCAGGATCAATACTGTTCGCTCTATCAGTGTCTCTACTTGTAAAAGGGTTTGTAAGCGAACAGCATGGATCCTGATCAGACTGCATGGATGCGCTGGCTTGTCTGGATCCATACTGGTCTCAAACTCATTATGTTGGTTTTGTCATGACGCGGCTCAAATAATGGCACTTACAAATGCAATAAATATTCAAGTGTTTGTTAACCTCCATGATAGTTTTTGTGTGAGTGCTGGTTATATTTCGCCCATTCACAAATCTGATAGCAAACTTTCATCTTATAGAATTGAATTTGAACAACATTACATTTTGCAACATATGTTGCATACATTGTATGTTGTAAAAGTGATAAATGCTGGGTTATTTGTGAAATATATGTGACAAGGTAGATTTAAACGATAAGTTTGTAAATGTAAAGAACAATATGTTCATGAATATATAAAATTGATTAGACATAAGAAATACTGGTACATGTTTTATTATGTATTCGATGTTTCATGATGTAGAGATATTTAACATGGGATTGCCTATAAACATGTCACATGTTTTCCACAGTGTATGGTGAACAGTAACAGTTTTTTT